TTTCCCCCTCGCAAGACTCTCTCTCTCTCTCTCTCTCTCTCTCTCTCTCTCTCTCTCTCTCTCTCTCTCTCTCTCTCTCTCTACAGCATCTTCAAGTGCTTGAGTCTTCATGATGTTCATCGAAGGGCAGTCATGAAACCCGTATGCTTTGTTTATTTCCTTTTTAAGTTAGTCGAAATTGTCGCCTACTGATCGCTTTCTACATCTCATACAAACCGCTCCAGTTCCCCTCGCCCTCTTAGTGCATACTCACACTAGCCCATTTGTCGACTGAATGTGGCTTCACTTACTATCAGATGCCCCCAGCAAAGTCTTAGTGGCCCCTATTCCCTTATCCGCAGTTCAAACGACTGCCGCAATCATGGGGCGATTATCGTCATTATCGTCACGCCTAGAAATAGAAACAGCGAGTAGCAGTAATCACAATTACTGCGACAGACGAGCAAAGGTGAACGCCCTCAGGTTCGATCTCCTGCCCACCTACCCTATAATCACGCTCCCTACTCGTAACTGTTAATGTTATTAACGCTCTTGTGGCCATCTCATCCCCTCCTCCTCCTCCTCCTCCTCCTCCTCCTCCTCCTCCTCCTCATCATCATCATCATCATCGTCATCACCACCATCATCATCATCACCACCACCACCATCATCATCATCAACAGTCCACCGATTCTTCCCGTAATCACGCTCACTACTCGTACATGTTAATGTCATTAACGCCCTTGTGGCCTCATCATCATCATCATCATCATCATCATCTACTCGTACATGTTAATGTCATTAACGCCCTTGTGGCCTCATCATCATCATCATCATCATCATCATCATCATCAATCTTCGACATCATCATCATCATCATCATCATCATCATCATCAATCTTCGACATCATCATCATCATCATCATCATCATCATCATCAACAATCTTCAACATCATCATCATCATCATCATCAGCAGCAGCAGCAGCAGCAGCAGCAGCAGCATTATCAGCATCATCATTAGCATCATTATCAATTATCAATCATCGACCAAGAAGAAGCATCACTGTTAAGGGCCATCGACATATACAAGTTCCGATCATTATGGCAATCACGACAGCCACGAACAATCATCACTATGCATTAGCACCATCGCAAGCCGCACAAACATCGCCAGATACACGCTCCCTATCAGATTAATCACCACCAACATCATAGCCATCACCATAATCATTCACCCTCCTAACCATTTACGTCATCCTCACAGAGTACATTCATCATCACCATCACACTCATCGTCATCATCATCATCATCATCATCATCATCATCATCACCGCCACTCATCATCATCATCATCATCATATGCACATAGATATATGTCATCCTCATGTGTACACCTGCTTCTACGGACTCATCAGTATATACATATATACTTGTGTGTATATATCGTCACACAGTGTATCGGAGCGCAAAGGCGAAAAAACAAAACAGAAGAAGGAAAGAAGGAAGGAAGGAAAGCTCCGCCTGTTCATCACCTCTTACGTACAAGGCTGGCCACGTGGATGATGGTTGAGCACCGGCTGCCCCCATCCCTGTGTGTCACAAGGACCCACTTGCACGCAGCCATCGTCAAACAGAACTGCCCGGTAAACCATAGGCAGAGAGGGAGAAGAGGACAACAAACGAGAGGCTGTGAC